GAAAGACAGAATCAAGATCAAGACAATCTGTTGACTTTGAGTCAGGACTTCTACTGTTCAGTCTAGAGTCATGACTCAAAATCAGTCAAAATCAGCAAAAAGAACAATATGTGGTGGCTCTAGACTCTGAATCTAGAGACAGAGAAACAAACAAAGCGGTTCTGTTCTCTTCGGGAAAAACAGAATCAAAAGACGATTAGTTTACCTGATTATCGGTCATGGAATGGACACTGAGGAGTCCATCAGACATGTTAGAAGCTTGATGAGAAACCCAAGAATAGTTCTCAGGTATAACCGCACCCCAATCCATATTCGCTAGCTCGTGGTTGTTGCTCGAAGACGAGCTCATGATCTCTCTCCTGTCCTCATGATCTCTCCATTTAGAAGTCCAGCTCATCGCGTGATACGCTTCCTCTCCCATTGGAAACGATGCGCTAAAGCTCTCATTGCTATTGTTATTCTTCTTTCCTTCATTACCGCTTTGTACAATCTGCATTCCTCTCCCTCTGTTTACTTCCGAATAGTCTGTCTCGCTAGAACTTGTATCCATTTGAACCACCGCGCTGCTACTCATCTCCGGGAATGCTGAATGTTTCGGAGCAGGAAACAAAGGAGAGACTCGAGATTGCGCTTCCGAAGCAAACGAGAGAAAGTCTTGGTACTCTGTTTTTAAGTTTTGGCAATTCAAAGAAACAAGTAAATAACTGACATTTTAAAAGAATTCAGTTCAGTTTCAATTGATGTAAAATTTACCAGAAGGTAGTCTAGCACTATCAGTGGAGCCACTCGTGGAACTGCTTCTCTCGGTTCTCTCAAATCTTATGCTTCCACTTGCGTCTGAATCAGAAGGACGCACGGAAGCTAGTTTACCCTTAGAGACCACATAAACCGTGCAGAATCTTGGGACAGCGGTAGCGATCATAGAAGACATATCGATCTTTCTTGAAAAGAATCCGCGAAGAGACATTCCTATTACCAGTTTGGTCACTCCGGTTTCAGCAATCTCTTCCGCTATCGCAGCTACAGGCTCATGTGATTCCAGCACCAGAATCTCTACTCGCACCTGTTTTTTTTAATACCATTTTGAGATTTTGGGAAAACAGATCAAAACAAGAAAGAGTTATAGATGTAAACCTTTCGCCTTTCGAACATTTTCTTGTAAGGACGAAGCATCTCGTTTGTGTTCCAATCCACTTCTTGTTTGTAAGCTGATACTACATCGTCTCTAAGCTCTGTTACCGATATCGCATTCCCCACTGAAATCAAATCCATAAGCAACAAAATTCAAGATCGATCTTTGTAACCGAAAACTCAAATCTTTTGCATTAATTGTAAAAATTCTGAATCTTTTTAAGTCAAAACTTACTTGGGGTAGGTATGTAAGTAACAGGAGGACGAACATAGAGCAGTTTGAAATCAGCGAATCCTTCAGGTATGAATTTCTCAAGAGCCCAAAAGGCGACGTATTTGCTCTTCTTCTTCCCGTTAATGGCTACCGCTACAACTGGAGGTGGTGGAGGAGGTAAAGATAGGTGTTCGCTTAACGCTCTTGCTGTTTTTTTCTCTTCCATTGTTTTTACCTGAAGCATAAAACATTCATGTATCTGAATTACAATGTTGTGTTTCTTCAAAGTCTTGCAAGAAAATGAAATTAGATGTAATGCAATAGCTTATAGTGAAGATTGTTTGAGGTTGATGGTTTAAATGTAACAGAGCAAGAGAGCTTTCAGACAAAACGGAATTTACCCAGTAGTTCTGTTAGAACAGAGAACAAAGAAGAAGAACCCTAAGTTTGGTGATATTATGACATTTTCGTAAGATTGAAAGATTAGGGCACAACACAAGCAAGCACGTTGTTGCCGCTACAATCCCATTTATACTGTTATTGGTGGTCAGCTCACTAATTTAATTATTTTTTCTTCATACATTGAAACAGATCATACAGACTTTTCTCTGTTTTGTTTCTTAAAAC